TGGACTTGTCGGTTTTGTTTGACTTGTTTGGTTTGTTGGACTTGTTGGGTTTGTTGGTTTTGTTTGACTTGTTGGTTTTGTATGACTTGTTGGGTTTGTTGGACTTGTTGGGTTTGTTGACTTGTTGGGTTTTGTTTGACTTGTTGGTTTTGTTTGACTTGTTGGTTTTGTTTGACTTGTTTTGTTTTGTTTGACTTGTTGGGTTTGTTGGACTTGTTGGTTTCGTTTGACTTGTTTGGTTTGTTGGGTTTGTTGGTTTTGTTTGGCTTGTTGGACTTGTTGGTTTTGTTTGACTTGTTGGGTTTGTTGGACTTTTTGGGTTTGTTGGACTTGTTGGGTTTGTTGGTTTTGTTTGACTTGTTGGTTTTGTTTGACTTGTTGGGTTTGTTGGACTTGTTGGTTTTGTTTGACTTGTTGGGTTTGTTGGACTTGTTGGGTTTGTTGGACTTGCTGGGTTTGTTGGTTTTGTTTGACTTGTTGGTTTTGTTTGACTTGTTGGTTTTGTTTGACTTGTTGGGTTTGTTGGACTTGTTGGTTTTGTTTGACTTGTTTGGTTTGTTGGGTTTGTTGGACTTGTCGGTTTTGTTTGACTTGTTGGGTTTGTTTGGTTTGTTGGACTTGTTGGTTTTGTTTGACTTGTTGGTTTTGTTTGACTTGTTGGGTTTGTTGGACTTGTTGGGTTTGTTGGACTTGTTGGGATTGTTGGTTTTGTTTGACTTGTTGGTTTTGTTTGACTTGTTTGGTTTTGTTTGACTTGTTGTGTTTGTTTGACTTGTTTGGCTTGTTGGATTTGTTTGACGTGTTGGCTTGTTGGTTTTGTTGGGTTTGTTGGACTTGTTTAGCTTGTTGGACTTGTTGGGTTTGTTGGACTTGTTGGGTTTGTTGGACTTGTTGGGTTTGTTGGTTTTGTTTGACTTGTTGGTCTTGTTTGACTTGTTGGGTTTGTTGGACTTGTTGGGTTTGTTGGTTTTGTTTGACTTGTTGGTTTTGTTTGACTTGTTGGGTTTGTTGGACTTGTTGGTTTTGTTTGACTTGTTGGACTTGTTGGGTTTGTTGGTTTTGTTTGACTTGTTGGTTTTGTTTGACTTGTTGGGTTTGTTGGACTTGTTGGTTTTGTTTGGCTTGTTGGACTTGTTTGGCTTGTTGGACTTGTTTGGCTTGTTGGACTTGTTGGGTTTGTTTGGATTGTTTGACGTGTTGGCTTGTTTGGCGTGTTGGTTTTGTTTGCTTGTTTGACTTGTTGGATTTGTTTGGCTTGTTGGGTTTGTTGGTTTTGTTTGACTTGTTTGGCTTGTTGGATTTGTTTGACGTGTTGGCTTTGTTTGACGTGTTGGCTTGTTGGACGTGTTGGCTTGTTGGACTTGTTGGGTTTGTTTGACTTGTTCGACTTGTTTGGCTTGTTGGGTTTGTTTGGCTTGTTGGACTTGTTGGGTTTGTTTGACTTGTTTGGCTTGTTGGATTTGTTTGACGTGTTGGCTTGTTTGGCGTGTTGGGTTTGTTGGCTTGTTTGACTAGTTGGATTTGTTTTGCTTGTTGGTTTTGTTTGGCTTGTTGGTCGTGTTCGGTTTGTTGGTTTTGTTTGCTGGTTGGACTTGTTGGATTTGTTTGACATGTTGGGCTTGTTGGGTTTGTTGGTTTTGTTTCACATGTTGGATTTGTTTGGCTTGTTTGGCTTGTTTGACTTGTTTGACTTGTTGGTTTTGTTTGACTTGTTGGTTTTGTTGGACTTGTTGGTTTTGTTTGGCTTGTTGAATGTGTTGGGTTTGTTGGTTTTGTTTGTTTGTTTGCTTGCTTGACTTGTTGGATTTGTTTCGCTTGTTGGGTTTGTTTGACTTGTTTGGTTTGTTGGACTTGTTGGTTTTGTTTGGCTTGTTAGACTTGTTTGGCTTGTTGGACTTGTTCAGTTGGGTTTGTTTGACTTGTTGGTTTTGTTTGACTTGTTGGTTTTTGTTGGACTTATTGGGTTTGTTGGACTTGTTGGTTTTGTTTGACGTGTTGGAGTTGGTTTTGTTTGTCACAACTCCAGAAATGCTATTTCATTGAGAGAATGAGAGGAACAAATTCCCCTGACAAACAAAAAACGCATTTAGAAACCAGTATGACAACCAAACATCCATAACTCTCAGCGCATGCGCAGTTCAATGCCCATTCTTCATAAGGAATGAATCACGGCACTTTCGTTGGGCTTGTTTGCCCAACAAAACTCCCAACAGAAATACGCCACCCCTAAAACGCGACGGGTATATTTTCCTAACATTATCATTAACATGAAATGTAGTAGGAACACTCATCAAACAATTCATTATTTTTAATCTAGAGCTTAAAATGTCCGTTGTAACCCTCATCAAGTTTCATTCTCGTTTGACTTGGGCTTAACAGAGGCCTGATTCGGAAAAAGCCTATATAGTTAAACATTACAAATACTGGAAATCTTGGACCGTTATTTTGCAATATAATTAGAGCGTATCATTATGTACACGTATCGCTCTGATTTTATTTTTTGGAAAACAGTTTAGAAAGTTTACGAATTTGCTTCAGAAAACGCAAGAAATGCAGTCATCGAGCTTCAAGAATAGCACAATCGCCTGGCGGAGAACCCCCTCACACCCAATCGAAATAGAAAACATGATTAGGCGAAGTTCAACTCCCAATGTTTTGCAAACATCTCTTAGTATATATCAATTCAAAAGTGCCCTTTCACGAAAATCTGCCTCCCTTGCCTTCACATCGTTCCGGCGTCCCTGGACAAGTGCCAGCTGGATCAGGAAACTGAACGTAAGTCTGTAGACACGGATATCCATACACACACGAGGGTGCATGTGAGTAAAATGTAGTCTATTTCAGGAAAAAATCAAAAGCGAGTTTTAATTTATGTTTATTTAAAACAATCCGATCTCTCTTATCCGAAATATTTGCAGTTTTGTCGGCTTCAATCATTACAAAAATGCGGCCTTTGACTTTGTACCGGCCTCTGAACTTTTCTCATGCAGGTGATAGTTTTCTGGGCTGGACATCAGTTTACAATCGTTGCCAGAATTTTTACACTTTGTTTTACTATATACGCAGAGGTATAGCCTGATATCGTAAAAGTCGATAAAGCACTCCTGCTCGTGTTTTAAATAGTACATAAGTCATAAGTTATAACTATCCAATCAATTTTCTGAAGAACGACACAACTACACGGATCATGCACTTTTGTTTACGGAAACCAATTTCAAAAATGCTTATTTTATATACGTCTTTACGGTGATGATATTATGGATTAGATATTATACGTAGCTATAGCGATGTATATTTGCACTTGACATGTGTATGCCCTGTAATTGTGTGCATATAAATAATTCTTATACCTTAACGCTATTCTCTTATAATCATTTTGTGCTACAAGTAGACAGTACAACTCGCATGAAACCCTGAAAAACACTGAGTATAAGTAAGAATATCGGATTTGGCTATACTATTCTTTTACACTTTTCATGCCGATATGTTTTGGCTCCGTGAATGCCGGGGTATGATAGCCTAGCTATTGGTTATATTGCATGGTTGGATAGTCTGCCTGATGTCAGGTTCTTGATTAGCAGGCGTTGTTGCTATTATGACAATTGCATGTAGCTAATGACTGCCAATATGAGTGAAGTAAACTAGCAGAAACAATCAGCTGAACCGTAAGCAAACGAAAAAGATTTTAATCATCATACGTTTATGCATATGGGCAAAATGCAAGCTATTTTGACGAAAATTTTGTCATAAATAGCACGCCTTCTTTCCCACCGAATCACCTTAATCAAACGGTGACAACTATCAAATTTGTTTCATGCAATCGTGAGACGTCAGGATAGTCGAGGACCTGTATATGAGTTTGCATGCATTTCATTTAGGACAGATAATCTCAACTGTTTTAGGGCAAGTTCGGACCATGGCGGTCAACATGGTAACGCTGCCCGAACCCCAATCCGGGACGAATCGTCCGAAACTGACCACACCCAAAAACGCCGCTTTCGCCATACTGCTATCTACCAAACCATAAAAGCTTTGGCTATTCTGAGGTGCTTATATGGTTCAGAGATGGTACTTTTGGTAGTGGTCATTGGTAACTGTGAAATGCCTAGCACTAATATTTCACAAGAAAATGACCATGCAATAATAAGCAATTATTGGATGAGGCTGAGCATGATATCAAGAATTACTTAGACCGAGGTCAATGTTATCTGCCGAAGCGAAGCTGAGGCGGATAACATAGACCGAGGCCTGAATAATTCTTGATATCATGCGAAAGCCGAATCCAATAATTGTTTTATTATACATTTAAAGACATGAGAAACGTATAAAACGATTCCTGTTCATGAGGTAGGAAAAGTACAATTCAAATATCAAACACCTTGCACAAAATCAAAGGTCAGCTAAATATTCTACTTCTATTTACCCCTGTGTGGCTTTTTTCGTGCTTTCACTATCCTTATCTGCCAATAATTTGGAGAGTTCACTTTCATTCAGCGAAGCAAATCTGCTGTCGGCCATTGTTTGTTTTTTTCCCCGCGCTTATAGGTTCAAGCTTTTGGCCGCGCAAGGGTTTGGGCACGAGAGAGTCCAATAATTTTTTTTTTGATGCAAGTTCGATCCAAAAAAACAATTATTGGACGCTGATGACGTCATCGGCGGAAAATACGTAATAAATGCCGAATACTGAAAATTAGCCGGTGCTTTCTGACCAATTAGAAACGAGAATACATATTAAATGTATAATAATCATAGTTAAACGTCAATTTGTGGCTTGCAACTTCAGATAAACAGCAGTGGACTTACATTACCTTTTTCCCTAAATCTTTTTGATAGAAACATAAATGGTACTTATTTAAATATATTATCACTGGTTTGGTGTAAAATAGTTAATATTTTCTGACTGAAATAATAATTTGAAATGTGCCTACCTCCTGCAAATGGACGTATTTGGCCAAGTTCTCCACTTTACTCCGCTGTTTATCGGCGATCTCATCGACATCCTACAAAAAATGTAAATCATCTCAGACATAATGGTATCAAAAACATTTTAAACAAGTTTCAACTTGGTTTCAAGTAGATCATACCTGTTTAACCATCGACAAGGTAAATCCACAACTTTGTCCAAATTCGGCGCCATTTTGTCATCCCATGTCGGTTGTCAACAATTCGTCAATTCGGCCTTGTTACTCTTCCATCCAAGCCATTTCCATTCCACTAATAATAAATTTAACCCTTTATAACAGGAGGAAACTAAAAATCTAAACAAAATATAAGAAATACGCCATTTTATCACCATGTAAAATTTTGCTCACGAGTCTTTCAAAACATTCCGTACAAATATCGCGTGACAAAGTAACAGGGACGTGACAGGAGGGGGTGAATTATTTCACGAAGGTAGAAGAACTCTGCGTGAAATAGACTAAAAGCTAAATACAATTATACAAACGTTTGTTTTATTTCCTGTAGCGACAAATATATACATATTATTATTTATTAATATGAAAAAGTCATACAAATTAAATGTTGATTGTTGGATACTGTGTGGGCTTTCCTTTCATTTTTCAAGTCTCTACCTCCCCTGCCAAGTCCCTGTTGCTAAACCACGCGAGATTTGTACGAAATGTTTTGAAGGACTCGTAAACAACACTTTACAGGGTGATAAAATGGCGCATTTCTTATATTTTGTTTAGATTTTTTAGTTTCCTACCGTTATAAAGGGTTAAATTTATTATTAGTGGAATGGAAATGGCTTGGATGGAAGAGTAATAAGGCCGAATCGTTGACAACCGACATGGGATGACAAAATGGCGCCGAATTGGGACAAAGTTGTGGATTTACCTTGTCGATGGTTAAACAGGTATGATCTACTTGAAACCAAGTTGAAACTTGTTTAAAATGTTCTTGATACCATTATGTCTGAGATGATTTACATTTTTTGTAGGATGTCGGCGAGATCGCCGATAAACAGCGGAGTAAAGTGGAGAACTTGGCCAAATACGTCCATTTGCAGGAGGTAGGCACATTTCAAATTATTATTTCGGTCAGAAAATATTAACTATTTACACCAAACCAGTGATAATATATTTAAATAAGTACCAATTATGTTTCTATCAAAAAGATTTAGGGAAAAAGGTAATGTACGTCCACTGCTGTTTATCTGAAGTTGCAAGCCACAAATTGACATTTAACTATGATTATTGCATGGTCATTTTCTTGTGAAATATTAGTGCTAGGCATTTCACAGTTACCAATGACCACTACCAAAAGTACCATCTCTGAACCATATAAGCACCTCAGAATAGCCAAAGCTTTTATGGTTTGGTAGATAGCAGTATGGCGAAAGCATTGTTTTTGGGTGTGGTCAGTTTCGGACGTTTCGTCCCAGATTGGGGTTCGGGCAGCGTTACCATGTTGACCGTCATGGTCAACTTGCCCTAAAACAGTTGAGATTATCTGTCCTAAATGAAATGCATACAAACTCATATACAGGTCCTAGACTAGGATGAAATATACTATAATTGCATCAATTCATTACATTTCTTAACTCCTTTTCGACCACCCCCTTTCGCATCATATTATGACACAATTTTTCTAATATAAACATTTCAGCGA